CGGATTGAAGCAGCGGAGGGATAGCTCCTACTTGCGAATTCACTGGTGCCACCTCGTTGATTGGGTTTTCCAGCACTGGTTGCGTTTGCCGAGAGCGCAAGCAGTAATTTTCTGTTCCAATGAGAGCGCAAGTACTGGTTTCTTTCTGGGAGCTTGGAGGTACTACCACCTTGATTGAGTGAGTTGACTTTGATGATTTTAGTAATCAGAGGCGTATGCTTCCGCGGAATGGTCTTGGTTGACTTCGTGGCGGGTATTGAGCAATGACCTGAGACATTTTTATTCTTTCCTTGGGTATGCTTATGAGAACTTTCTTCTGAGAGCTGCTGATTCCAGATTTTATCTGGAATGAACTGAACGAGAGCCTTGTTTTGTTGTTTCTTGTGTCAATGTTTGTTCTGTTGGTTTTACAGATACTATCTCCTTGAGAGGTTGTTGCTCCATGGATTCTTTTTCTGTTTTCTGATGTAATTTTTTTAATATATCCTTTAGCGTTATTTTCATTACTTTCATTTCCTTTGCCACTTGCCCACGAAGTTGGCGCAATGTGGCAAGTTTTACGTTTTTGACTCATCTGTGGCTGTCGAAGTCGAAAGGCTGAGGTTCGCTAGAAGAAGGCTTGAACTGTTTTTCAGGCGTGCCTTCGTTCGAATCCTTATCCTTGTGCCTTTTTAATGCCGGTCTAAATTCTCTCAGGGTTTTGAAGGTCGTGGGATCGAATTTTTTCGGCAGTGTATTCAGTAACGGTAAAAAGAAGTCTCCGGCACCGTCACTTCCAAGACTGTACGGTCGTGAGTCCTGTGACATCGAATCTTCGCTATTTGACGGCGATTCTTCATCAGAAACAAAATTCTGATCTAAATACTGTTCGTATCCTCTCTCAATACCAGCAAGCTCATCCAGTGGTTTCTGTTCTTGATATTTTTAAACATAGAGTAATCTATGTCAACAAAATTTCAGCTCAGTGACTAAATTCTTAGCATTCTGCGGGTCATGCAAGTACATTTTGCAAATTCTATGGAGGGTCGTCCCAAGGCAGGTATCAACTGAGTACTTGATACCTCGGGTTCGATAGACAATACCACCAGAATCGTCGCATAACGGCTCAGATATTCCTAAAACGGGATTCTGGAGTGCTTCGTGCAGGGTTCATGTGATCTTTGGCAATTCTACGCTAGGTTTACACATCCAATCTCCCGCATTCTGAACATATCCAGGTTATTTCGTCAGTTGGTAGAGCGGGTGGGTGCAAACGGCATTTCCAATCTTCCTCAGCGGTGGTAACCGGTAATTTTATTAGAATCGTACCATTGCATGCCCACTGTAATGTTGGTATGTACGGGATACGCTACAAAGGATCACAAGTGAGTACGCACTTTTATTTCAAATGTCAAGTGGTCTATTAAGCAAGTAATTGTAATACAGTTTTAAATAACAGTCCTTTGGCAAAACGTTTCAGGTTGACGTTCCGGACCGAAAGTGTCATTTCCATGACATATACAGGTAGATCAGAATACAAATAGATACATTACATTATTATTGACAAAAAACCAATACAGGAGCGCGTTTTCATATTGCCGTGCAGCAACCCAGTTGCATGCAATGCACTCTCCCCATTTTGCTTCCGTTTCGACAGAATGACTAAGGAAACGTTTAGCTTTATTGGAGCCAGATGTTCAAGTAGTCCAACAGTTTCAAAAATGGACGTGAGGTCGTTAAAGACCTAGAATTATCAGACACCCTTCAACGAGACGTGTAACTTCATAAACAATTGCCGACGAGCCAACAATATTCAAATTTACATCTCACAAAAACACCGCTAATAAAAAATATAGACCTGTTTATTTACATTAGGATGTTTGGAGACATCTCCTCGGTAATTTGCAATGTTGCATGTCCTCAATGAAGGCTAGTAAATCCCAGAAAGTGCTTTCTATCTATACAAGGGCGTACCCAGGAGCAGCTGCCTCCCTTACCTATAGCTCGGCAAAAATTAAATGGCAAGAACATTTTTTACAAAAATTAAATTATACATTCAGAGTTTTCCACAAGCTGAATCAATATCTATTAGTTGAGAAATGACTAGGATTAGTTGAAATCTATGCTAGATATAAAGACTCCACAACCCATCTGCCACAAAGTCAGTCCTTCTCCATCAGAACCTACAGTCATAGATCCTCAAAAACTCCGTCGACTACAGGGCACCTTATCATGGAAACAACGAAGATGCGGCGATGCAGCAAATCCAACCAGAATCGGACATGACATTTGATCTTTTTATGGCTCACAATGCTAATGGCCATTCGATTTCTGGTATGTTGTCACAGTCCTAGACGGCTACCTCCTGGAAGGAGTGTGGATTGTTAATTCTTAAGAACTCCTACTGCAAGAAAGGGCAGTCGTGCCGATATCGAGATCCACCGCCA